TATGATTGTGCAGCTACCCATCCAGGCTGTCACATTGTAAAGTTTGCAGATGATACAGCGGTGGTGGGATGCATCACAAACAATGATGAGTCCAGCTACAGGCAAGAGGTGGAACACCTGGAGAGCTGGTGCAAAGAGAATAACCTTCACATCAATGTGAAGAAGACAAAGGAGATGATTGTGGACTTCAGAAGGAACAAAAACATCTACACCCCCCTGAACATAAGAGGATCTGCGGTGGAAGTGGTCTCCAGCTACAAGTACATGGGTGTACACATGAATGACAACCTCAGCTGGAGCAACAACACCACCAGCCTGATCAAGAAAGCTCATCAGAGACTCTACTTCCTCAGACGGCTGAGGCGAGCTGGTCTGGGAAGCTCAGTCCTCACCTCCTTCTACAGGTGTGCAGTGGAGAGCATCCTGTGCTCCAGCATCAACGTGTGGCATGGAGGCTGCACAGCTGCAGAAAGAAAAGCTTTGCAGAGAGTGGTGAAGGCTGCACAGAAGTCTGTTGGAATCAGCCTCCCCACCATCACAGACATCTACACCTCCAGATGCAGGAAGAGGGCCACCTGCATCATGAAGGACCCCACTCACCCAGCACACACACTTTTTGCCCCACTCCCCTCAGGAAGGAGGTTAAGGAGCATTAAGTGTAGAACCACTAGACTGAGGAACAGCTTCTACCCTGAGGCTGTTAGACTCATGAATCTCTAACTAGAATAATCACTGTGAAAAACCATATCATGTTGCTGCTGATCTGTTTCATGTTGCTGCTGATCTGTTTCATTGTTGATGTGTTCATGCATGCACATCTGCTCACAGACTCATGTTCATGTTTGTGCTGATGTTCAATGTTTTATGTTATGAGTGCTTAGTGTATATTTAGTTGATGTTTTTCTTAGTTCATATCTTAGATGTTATTACTGTTTTTCTTATACATTTTATTGTTGGATGTAACTGGGGCCTTGTGTACATAATTTCGCTCCACCACATGTACCACATGAGGTGCGAATGACAATAAAGAAACTCTGACTCTGATACATATATATATACATATGCATACATATATATAAATATAAATAAATATATATATACTGGTTCATCCCAAAGATCCAGTCCCCTGGCACAAACAGAGCAATGTTGTGTATGCTGTTCAGTGTCAGGAGGGCTGTGATCAGTCTTACATCGGGGAAACAAAACAGCCACTGGCCAAAAGGATGGCCCAGCACAGAAGATCAACATCATCAGGCCAGGACTCTGCGGTCTACACTCATCTCCAGGCCAGCGGTCACTCTTTCAGGGATGAAGATGTTCACATCCTGGACAGAGAGGAACGATGGTTTGAGAGAGGAGTAAAGGAGGCCATCTTTGTGAAAAGAAACCGTCCATCATTAAACAGGGGTGGAGGCCTCCGGGTTCAACTGTCCCCCTCTTACAATGCTGTGATTGCTAGTATCACTCAGCCCTCTGTGAATAGTAAACAGCCATCAGTGTGCTAATGATCCATTGTTAGGCTGATGGTCCTTCTTGAGCATGTGATCAGCTGGTTTTGGTTGTCAGCAGCAAAACTGGTTGATCCACTCTGAGAAGGTGCTATTTAAGAGACTGAGCTGAATACAGCTCCTCAGACTGAGGAAGTCTCTCGGATGAGAGACGAAACGTTTCTACATTTTTTTGTTGATTTGCTTTGTTTTTTTTTTAATGTCCAGAGGACCAGATTTAACTTTTTTAGACTTACTACTAGTAGTTTTATTTTTTTGTTACTATTGGTGCAAAACTTTTGTTTTGTGTATAGCCCTTGGACCAAAAGTTGTTACTGGTATTTTTAAATTTACTATATGAATAAAACTGAAGAAATATTTGCACCTCTACTCATTAACATTTAAATACAACCCAGTTCAAGATGGCCCCCACAGAAAACTGATCTTTGAAAACACAATCATGGGTAACATTAAATTAAATCATGTCATCTGGACCAGTTTCTTTAGGTGAGAAATGTTTTGTCCCCCATCCAGAGGACAGTCATGGGTATTATTCATTCAGTTTTACTAATTGCTGAGAGTCCTTCACAGCCCATACTCTACCTGACACTCATTGTAGAACATCTTTACTTGAACTTTTGTGATCAGTCCTTTTTGTCTGTTGGCAAAATATCTCATGAACTATACTGGATGGATGGTAGTAAAACATTCTTAAGATAATTATTGGCTGTACATCTAAAACTCATTAATGTTTAAAGTCATTCTAATTCAAGCTGCCATTTGACATTAGCCAACACAAAAATGGTAATAACACAGTTTAAAAAGTCTGAGCTAATATTTGATATGGTTGTTGTTGTAGTCTTTTACAACACTTACTGTGTTACTGTGTGACATCTTATTTGTGGTATTGCATGAGATTGTGCATAATGTTATTTTCAAAACAGCTACAAGTCATAATATTCGTTTTGTTTTTTTTTTTTTTGTTTTTTTAACTCACATTTGCCTTTTTAGTAAAACCTCCCAAACCAGTGTTTCAGGTTGACGTGTGGAAAGCAGACATAATGCTCATAGTCTGAGATGGGTTTACATTTTTATTACTCTGACAGTGGAGATTCAACCCACTAATTCATTCAATATGTACTGTATGTTTTCCATTTTACCCAATATAATAAATGTGGTGTACATTTTGGGAATGAGCCATGCTACATAACTTTGGGTTTACCAGTGCTGGACAAAGATACACCCTATCTTCCTTATAGCACTAGTCCTGCAAAATTAGACCTTTAAATGTAAAAACCACAGAGAAATGCTGCCTATAGCCTCAAGGAGAATGAATAAACCAAACCATTAAGCCCCAAAGCAATTGACTTTATCTAACAATAAATACTGTTTCTTCCCACTTATCAAGTATGACCGGGAATCTTTCACAAAAGCATAACTGAAAAAGTATATGGATTTTGCTTAGAAAGAGCATGCTCAACCATAGGAGAATTTTGAGGCTTTGCTTCAAAGAGGAAACACACTTGGCCTTTCAACACCAGATATATTCCTTTTCTTCATTGTTCCAATATACATAACATGTGACAACAATGTGTTTCTCTATTTGTGCTGAGTTTTAAATCTGTAAAATTGTATCTATTACTGTATTGTGTAAAATACAGTATCCAAACTTTATACACATACACACACATCCATATCTTATTTCATCCGCCAGACAAGTCTGCCACTGGATATGTCCCATGTGAGTCCAAACAGACTCAGTCTTAGTTTGTAATGCATACACACATGCATGTACACACAAAAACTTTGCAGTCACATCTACAGTGGGAGGTATGACATTGATATGGTAGCCCTCGTTCTCTTTTGCAGAAACCAAAGTAAAGAGCTTCCTGCACTATAAAAGTGATTTGCCAACAAATCCTGGAAAGAATCAAGATGTCTGGATCCACTATATAATGAAAGCAATTACATCTCTGCTAAAACACAGCACTTGGTACAGCCTCATGCACTGCCATACTGATCAGTTTTTCCCTCTGCAGGTTCACAAAGGCAGAAGGTAGTGTGTAAGCGGCTGGATGACAACTTGGTGGTGCAGAACAGCTACTGTGACCCAGACAACAAACCTCCAGAAAACCAGAGAGACTGCAACACTGAGCCATGTCCACCAGAGTCAGTATTACTTTGACTATTACCTGTTGATTTCTTCATGAGATACACAAAGGGTAATTTTTTTTAAACCAGAAAAGCATAACTTAAGTGATCAAAACAGATACACTACACACATTCAACCTTTATTTAGACAGGTAAATCCCATTGAACCTCGAGGACTCATTTACAAGAGAGACCTGATTTAAAAAAAGACTGTCGATAACAATGGACAACAGCGGCAACAATAGACAGTTATAAAAAGGCATACAATTTTTTTATTTTTTTTTACAAAGATGGCAAAAACAATAACAAAAACAGCTAGATTATAAGGCAAATGTAGAAAACTAAAAACAGGAACATGTCTGCATTGGTCCTTGCCAGGAGTTCAACAGATTTTTAAAGCCACTTAGAGAGGTCAAGGTCAAGAGCTTCAGATCTTTTTGTAAGATATTCCAGGAAACAGGAGCGGAGTAGGAGAAGGCCCTTTTGCCAAGTTCAGTCCGCACTGAGGGAACACTGCAGGTAATAATGTCCTGAGAGCGCATGCTGTAGCTGCACTCACACAGAGACATGTAGGAGGAAATGTACATACTTACATATCTATACAGATATCACAACACTCTATTCATACATTATTCTCTAGACATTTACACACTCACGGACCGTGTTATGGATTATATTAACTTCTGCACAGATAATATAATCCCCACAAAAACAGTTTACTGTTTTCCCAACAATAAACCTTGGGTCACCAAGGACATTCAGGGGAACAGGGAAGAGATGAGAGTGCAGACTGAGGTGTGGGACAAGATCATGGAGAGTAAAGGCTCCAGTATACTGCTGCGTATGTCCGTTCACGCGTACCTACGCGTGTACGGTATGCAGAGGGTTCAGACATGATACTCCAGCGTACACCCCCGAGTAGCTGCAGAGCAGCTTCACAGACAAGGGACATTTACCTTCGGGACAAATTGGGGTCGCCGATTGGTCATTTGCTGACACGCCTACTGGATTGATTGACAGGTCGGAAAAAGAAAAAAATTGAGCGCTGGCAGCCTCAGCCGCAGCAGTGTTCTGTGTTTATATGTTGTTAATGAAAAGATCTAAAAAATAAAATAAAAAAACAGGGAGAACTGGATCTACAACCCACACATCAGACCAGCCCACCAGAAAATCTCCAGACCCTCCCGCAGCCACGCTGGACCTGAGTTTAATTCGCTCGTGACAAATTCCTTCATTTCTCACCATTTCAGTCATTGCATCAACGGAGGAGGAAGAGATCACTGTCTCTTGACAAAAAAACTAAAGAAAAGGCCAGATCAGAGATGAACAAGGGGAATTTAATACATTGGTGTCGCATACAAAACAGTCCGTCGCTGGGCAGTTTATTGTGCGACACCGCGTACGCGTATGCGGTCGTAAAAATTGGAGCTTTGCACGGAGGGTACGCTGGGGGGTACGCACGTACCTCTGCGTACGTACGTGCATACCTCTGCATGTGGATGTACACGGCAGTATACTGGGGGCTTTAGAAGCAGGACATATAGAAGCTGGAGAGCAAACGTGCACAAAACAACACCAGGGAAGTCTGGAATGGGATGAGAAGTATCATTGTTCAGGTGAAAAAGACTGCAGCAGTGATGGGAGAAGACCAACAGGAGGCCAACAAGTTAAACCAGTTCTTTAACAGATTTGATGTTGTGAACACTGCTCACCCTTCACCCACAACTCCAATGCCTTCCTGGGGCTCATCAAACCTAGGGGGCCAGTTACACAGCGCGTGTATTAGAGCTGTGAGTGGTAACACAATTAGGGATGCACGATCCACTTTTTTTAAACTTCCGATCCAATCCCGATAACTAAATCTGGATATCGGCTGATACCAATCCCGTTCCGATATCATCATCATAATTGATTTTATGAGGCTGTAATAATCTCCTCTCAAGTATAATTTGTACAAATTGTAGGGATTGGTCTGTTTCATGGGTTTAGCCCCATATTGTTTTGTGGTTTTTGTCTTATGTCCTTCTTCTCAGTTTCTGTTTTCTATAGGGTTTGTGTTTTCCTAGTGTATGCTTCCATTTAGTGTTGTGTGTCTGTTCCTGCACTCCCTGGTTTCCTGGTTTTTCATTTTCCCTGATGTGGTTCAGCTGTGTGTCCTCACAGGTGTTTTGTCTCGTTTGTCACTGTATATAAGTCTGTGTCTCTGTGTTAGTCCTTCGTCCTGGCATTGCTTCCTGTCACCCTGGTCCTCTGCGTTTCCTACAGATTATGTAAATTTGCTGCCCCGTCAGCTGTTGTTTTGTTATGATTAAAAAATTATTTTATTCATCTCCTGAGTCCTGGATTGTCTGCCTGCACCCCTGGGTTTACCTTCACCAACCAGCATTACGACAGAATGCCAGGACCAAAGATAAACCCAGCAGGAAGCCAGTTCATGGCAAATCTTTCAGATGAGGATTACCAGCAGTTGGATAAGACAATCCAAAAATATGTGGACACTGTGGCTACCTCCAATGATCTGGAGGAAAGGTGGGTGGTCACAGAGGACATGATTGAGTATTTTCGTCTCCCTGGACTGTGTGACTCTCCGGGCATGATGGAGTTTTTGGACAAACTACTGAGAGAGAGGAGCAGGCTGGAGTCCCGCCGCCTACAGTCAGCTACTTGGTCCACTTACAGTTCCAGCCCTTCATGTCAGTCACCTGGAGGATATGTGCCTCTCCATGCCTCTGTTCAAGAAGAGCCCATCATCAAGTGGAACGGGTTCCAGACCGAACATATCCAGAGGCAGCAAAGTTGCAGCCCTGAGCTGGAGATCTTTCCGTCGCCCCTCCTAGTGGAAGAAGAAGAAAGGAGGGCACAACTCGGGGAGAGTCACCTAACACAGACACCCAGGTCCCTGTACCAGACATCTGAGGGTGACATTGAACCCAAAGAGGAGATTGGGTTCGCTTCTGATCCTTGTTCACACCCCCGCCGGCGTAGATGTCGAGGGCAGAAAAGGATCAGAACTGCTGAAATCCAGATCCTTCCGCCATCCGAGTCCCCGCAAATACAGTCTGAGGAGCTGGGGAGAATTTCTAATGTGGGGGTTTACCTGAACCCCTGCTTGCCTAAAGAGAGCCCCGAGCCTGCACACATGTCTCCAGTGTCTCCAGCGTCTTCAGTGGCCTCAATGTCCACACAGGTTCCCAGGTCCGCCGACGCCTCGACATCCACAGAAGTTCCCAGGTCCGCTGACGACTCAACGTCCACAGAGGGTCCCAGGTCCGCCGACGCCTCGATGTCCACAGAGGGTCCCCAGTCTGCCGACGCCTCAACGTTCACAGAGGGTCCCCGGTCTGTCGACTCCTCGATGTCCACAGAGTGTCCTCGGTCCGCCGATGCCTCAACGTCCACAGAGGGTCCCCGGTCTGCTGACGCCTCGACGTCCACAGAGGGTCCCCGGTCCGCAGACACCTCAATGTCTCCTGAGGTCTCTATGTCTCCTGAGGTCTCTACATCTCCTGCGGCCCCAGTGGTCTCTACGTCTCCTGCGGCGCCTGAGGTCTCTACGTCTCCTGTGGAGCCTGTGGTCTCTACGTCTCCTGCGGCACCAATGGTCTCTTCATCTCCTGCAGCACCAGTGGTCTCTACGCCTCCTGCGGTCCCAGTGGCCTCTATGTCTCCTGTGGTTCCAGTGGTCTCTATGTCTCCTGAGGTCTCTACATCTCCTGTGGAGCCTATGGTCTCTACGTCTCCTGTGGCGCCTGTGGTCTCTTCATCTCCTGCACCACCAGTGGTCTCTTCATCTCCAGCGGCACCAGTGGTCTCTATGCCTCCTGCGGTCCCAATGGTCTCTATGTCTCCTGTGGTCCCAGTGGTCTCTATGTCTCCTGAGGTCTCTACATCTCCTGAGGTCTCTATGTCTTCTAAGGTCTCTACGTCTCCTGCAGTCCCAGTGGTCTCTACACCTCCTGTGGTCCCAGTGGTCTCTGTCTCCTATGG